TTCACTTGCAAATCTCACACATCTCACCCACTTGAACCTTTCCCACAATTCACTTCTTGGTTCACTTGAAACTCAGTTCTTCTTGCATTTTAATCTACTTGAGATCCTCGATTTGAGCTATAACCGTCTTTCTGGAGAGCTACCACTTTCTCTACCATCCAGCAATATCCGGACAGTCGATTTGTCCAACAATCACTTCTTTGGTGCAATTCCATCTTCATTCTTCCAACAAGCTAGCAACTTGACTAGTTTCAATGTCAACAACAATACCTTCACAGGGTATGTCCCATCCTCTATTTGTCTCCATTCTTTTCCCTCCCTTAGGCTATTGGATTTTTCTTCCAATGTATTCAGTGGCAACCTTGCTCCTGGGCTAGGGAAGTGTTCCAAACTACAGGTTTTTCGTGCCGGTCACAATAACCTCTCAGGATTACTTCCAGAACATATCTATAATGCTACCAAACTTGAAGAAATTGCATTACCTCTCAATTCACTACATGGAGCCATTAGTGATAGAATTGCCAACCTCACCAACCTTGCAATCCTTGACCTCTACTTTAATCATTTTGGTGGGGAGCTTCCTCCCAATTTGGGTAAGCTCTCCAAGTTGAAATTCCTGACCCTTGATTTGAACAATTTAGAAGGTGCTTTGCCCCCATCGTTAATGAATTGCACAAACCTTGTGGAACTGCGTTTGGGATCCAACAACTTGGCAGGAGATATCTCCATTCTTGATTTCTCCAGACTTAGTCAACTTAGTAAACTAGATCTAAGGAACAATAACTTCACTGGTACGGTTCCAGTAAGCCTTTACTCATGTAAGTCCCTAAAAGCCATTGCATTGAGTAGAAATCATCTAGAGGGACAAATAGAAGCTGAGATTCTTTCATTGAAATCCTTGTCCTTCCTCTCACTTGGTTACAACCGATTCACCAACCTCACAGGGGCAATGAAGATATTGATGAGTTGCAAAAGTCTTCATGCACTCAAGCTTACTGGTTTCTTTGAAGGTGGGCGAATGCCATTTGATGATGACATGGTTGATTTTGACGGATTCCAAAATCTTCAGCTCTTCAGTTTGGGTCATTGCGGCCTCATTGGTCAAATACCTGCATGGTTATCAAAGCTCAAGAATTTAAAGATATTGCTTCTGGGTAGTAATCAAATCACAGGGCCAATTCCAAGTTGGTTGGGGACTCTTCCTAGACTGTTTCATATAGTCTTGTCAAACAACCAAATTTCAGGTGAATTTCCAAAGCAACTTTGTAGACTACCAAGGTTGATTTATGAACCTAATATTGCATCTCAAGCAGAAGACCAATATGAATTTGAATTGCCTGTCTACAGCAAATTAAATGGTGCCAATCAACTTTTTCTACCACAAAAATTGTCTTCTTTTCCAGCAATGATAGACGTATCTAACAATAACATTAGTGGTTATATACCTGCTGAGATTAGCCAATTGCAGCTTCTCCAGAAGTTGGATCTTCACTCTAACAACTTCTCTGGGGTCATTCCAGACCAAATATCTAACCTCAAAAATTTAGAGGTTTTGACCAACCACTTCTCCGGCATCATTCCAGACCAAATATCTAACCTAAAAAATTTAGAGGTTTTTGACCTCTCCACAAATCACTTGTCTGGAATAATCCCATCATCATTGGCAAGCCTTAATTTCTTAAAAGAATTTAATGTCCCATACAATAATCTTGAAGGACCAATACCAACAGGCACCCAACTCCAAAGCTTCAACACTTCTGCCTTTGAGGGGAATCCAAAACTTTGTGGTGCCCCACTTCCAAATAAGTGCAGACCAAATAAGGACATGGATGTAGATAACAAGAACAACAAAGACGAGGGCAATGGGCATCATCAACTTCCATGGTTTTATATTTTCGTTGCGTTGGGGTTCATAATAGGATTTTGGGGAGTCTGTGGTTCTTTAGTTTTTAAAAAGACATGGAGATATGCGTATTTTCAATTCATAGACAAACTACAAGATAGGCTCTATGTGATGATAACCCCCCTCAACAGGATGAAAAGAAGGCTTAGAAGCTAGATATATATTATTAATACTGTACTTTTTATTTTGCATTTTCAGTTTGCTTTACCCTTTTTTTTTTTTCTTCTTCTTCTTCATTTCAAAGTAACTAGACTCAAATTTAAAGGATATATGTTGTTCGGTTCATAAAGTTATGAGGGAAAAGAAACCCTAAACTCATGCAAACAAGTGAAAATATAATACCATAACCCAGTTCAGCTGCAGGAAAAAAACTACAACATCGTTATGAACTCCTCAGTATGCTGTTTCTGACAGATTTGAAGAAAAGAAAAGATAATATATGATGCTGCTGTCCAATTTATTTCGGAGAAAATACACTACAAATCTCACAACTCATGGTTTTCTTTCTTCCATGTTTAACTTAAAAAACCTTGGGGCTCTATTGTGGAGTTTGCATCCATCACACAACCCCTGCAGAACAATAAAATTGTTTACAAACTAAAAGAGAAGAACCAAATTCGTGAGGTTTTTTACTACTGTTAAAAAAATCATGACACATCCTATACAGCTTATAACAACTCTGCAATAAACAAGTTGTAAGACATTTGCAATTTAACTCGACTGTCTAAAGTCAATATCACAACCAGCATGGATATTGGCAAGGCAAATCAGATATTTCTTGTGCTCGAAAGCGGATAATATAATTTCTGGTCGTGACGAATTCACCTAACAAATTTTTCACATAAAAACGCTGCACTGTCGCCAGATGGACCTCTTCCATATAACATTGGAATGAAGCCCTGAAAACAAATGACCGGACTCTTGCGACTAGTTGGAAATATGCATCCAAGAGTCCGATATTTTCTCTTCCTACAAACCATCAACAAATGAACATTAAGCTACATAAAAACAAGCAAATTGTCCCTCTTTAAAGAAGTCCATACACCTCTTACCTCTATTTCAACTGCTGCTAGGGATGTGGAAATTTAAGCATACTCCCCTGGTTTCTTGTTGGCCGCATGAACAGAGGATGAGGCTTCCATAGTTAATTCCATTCGTTTGTTTTTGGCAGCTCTGATCTGGGCTGCGAATGAAAATTTTTTCTGTATTTTTTCTCTCTTTATAAGCTCTAGATCCAGTTTCTCAAAAGCTGAGATATGCGACATGACTATGTCCCCTCGAGCAGCAGGTTGTCCATTTGTTGAAGTTTTCCTTTCAAACTATTAAGAAGAAAGAGAATTCAATAACACACTCAAACAAACAACATTGGAAAAGTTGATGCCATTTAAAAGCAACAGATTAGAAAACATGAAGGAAAATAATTAATATGTTGATCAACCAGGGACGGATCCACAGAGGAGAAAGGGTGGTCAATTGACCCCTGCAACTCCGGAATCCGCCACTAGAGGAAGAAAAATTGACCCCTGCAAGGGCTGGATGGCTGGGCAATTCATGCCCGCCATCTGTTCGAGGAAATGCCTCAAAGGGTTGCAGCAACTTCAACTTCAGCACAACAAGCATTGCACGCAGAGCGCTTCCTTTTTTTAGTCTTTTGATTCATGGAGAAACGACACCGTTTCATTTAAGTTTTTATTTTTTATTTATTTTTAAACATATTAAAATAAACAGGGGCAACAGCAAGCAATGGAGCTGTCTTTCCATCTCTTCCTTGCTAATACTGTCTGGAGAGTCAGTATGATGCATTGATTGAACCTCCCTCATCGAGCTTTGCTTCTCGTATGAATTCATGCCAAGTATATAATGGCAGACGTTGAGAATATCAAATTTCTCAGCCATGTCAGCACTCTGTTTTTTCTTTTTCTTCAACCATAAAAACTCATGGCCCTGTAAAAAATTTCCTTTTCTTAGCATGCTGTCTTTTTTCATATGTAAGTTTGTTTGAAAGTTGAATGAAAGATTTACATGATGATCCATTTTACAATAAAATGTTGAAAATGACAGTTTCAAGTTGTCTTGGTGTGTGTACTCTGAGGGAAACAGGATTAGAAACACAGACCTGCTATAGGAACTTCATCAAACAGGATTTGGAAGATGGTTTATACATAGTTAGAACAAACATATCAAATTTTCTTTTCTTTCCTTTTCCTTTTTTCTCAGTTTCGCGGTGATAAACCGTCATTTAAAATCAGTGCATTATTTGATGTTTTAATGTCTTTCGGTTTCCCATGCTTCTTTCCTGTTACTGTATATGGTGCTTTCCTACCCTGACATATATTCTATCGTCTTCATGCTTTGTGTGCATTTCTGCGGTGCCTTTTTGTTGCTTCATTATACTAGCAGATCAGGTTTCTGTTGTCATCCCAGTGCTAAAGCTTAAGAATACAACCTCAGATTCTTTCATTGAAATACTTGTCCTTCCTCTCAATTGGTTTGGTGGCAATAAATTAACCAATGTCACAGGAGCAATGAAAATACTAATGCGTTGCACAAGTCTTCGCGCATTCTTCCTTTCAAAATCCTTTATAACTGCATTGCTTTCAAGCTAACTATAAGAAAATCAAAAAATTAGATGCAAGTGGTTATTGATTACTAATTACTTACTTTCGATGAATATTGTATTCAAACAATATTTGTAATTAACGAGTTTGGAAACAAAAACATTAGTTTGTTACTAATCATGGAGGTAACAAAGTATTGATGTTCCTAATCATGTTTGATCACCAAAGACTACTGCCTTCTTAATGTCCGGGATTGACCAAGTGGTGAGCGAAGATGGGGAAAATTGTTTAGGATTGGAATAGGTCAAATTTTCAGTCCCTTATAATATAGTCAAAAATACAATTCATGAAGCCAATAGAGTCTAGTCTAATGGAAAACGGCCTTGATTTGTAAATCAATGGTCTTAATTTCGAACTCTCGTGTCACCTTGATAGTATGTGTATGTGAGAAAACCCCCTCCCCAATAACACTTGTATATATAAAACAAAAGAACAAAAAACAAAAAGAAAGATACAATTCATGAATATATCAGCTCCCAATCCCTATAAAA